GCAGGGTATTAAGTGCATCAGTAAGCATAGGGGTCAATTGCTCATTAAATTTTCTATAATAGGCTGCCGTAAAACCATCTGGACCAGGCCTTTTGTTGGGCTTGAGAGATTTTATGGCGGTTTGCACTTCTTCTTTTGATATTGGCCTGTCTAGTGAATCTCGTTGGATTTCTGAGAGGGTTGGGAGTGCCAAGTTAGCTAATGTTTTGGACATTAAGTCTGTATTTAGAGGTTCCTGGTCTTGATATAGTGTAGATAGGTGTTGCGCAAATTCCTGAACTATCTTGCGTGGATTGCTGGATAAGGTCCCATCTGACAATTGCAGACGCAATGGTTTTTGGTGAAGGTCTATTTTCCTGAGTCTACGTGCTAGCAAAGAGTCTTGTTTATTGCCTTGGCTATAGAATTTGTGTTGGGTCCTACGTAGGCTCTTATCCGCAATATTGGCGAAGAGTAGATTTAGGTCTCGCCTAGCTGTATCTAACAATCGTTTGTTGTGTGAAGAAGGGTGGGCATTGTACGTGAGGGCACGAGACAAGTATATGTCTTCTAGTTTTTTTAGACATGCTTGCCTTTTCTTTTTAAGAGCGGATGCAATCCGAATGCATTCACCCCTAAGGACTGTCTTGTGTGCTTCCCATAGGGTCATTGGGGAGCTATCTGGAGTGTTATTAATATGTATGTATTCTGTGAGAGCTGTTTGTATAGTGGAGTGCACATTATCGTCAGTTAGCAAAGAGTCGTTCAGGGACCATGTGCAGTCGACTGAATCAGACCAAAAGGAGGACATATAGATTATAACTCCCTGATGGTCTGTCCATGAGAAAGGGTGGGTGATGGCTTCAGTAACTGACGGTAACGTGGCATGTGAGCTGAAGAAATGATCAATCCGAGAGGATGAGTCATGTGGGTTCGAGTAAAATGTGTATTCTCTAGAGGTCGGGTTAAGTTCACGCCAACAGTCCACTAGTGCATGTTGGAATAGCAAACGACGGAAGGGTCTAGATGTGTCTGAAGGCAATATCACTGTGTTGGATCGGTACATACTCGGGTATATTGTTAAGTTAGAGTCGCCACCTAGAAGGAGAGTTCCCTTTTGGTGTGTTGCAATCACAGAAAGTAAATGTCTAAAGAAAGGGAGCTGATTAGAATTGGGTGCATAGTACGTGACAATAGTGGCTTCCACATCACGTAATGTACCTATCAGGATAAGATATCTTCCGGAAGGATCTGGAATTTCCTTCTGACATACAAACTGCGCCGAGTGCCCAAAGCCGATCAGCACCCCTCTGTGTTTTGGCCATGTGGATTTGTGGGTAATGGTGGTGGAAATATTTCAGGCAAGAGGATTGTGAAAAATGGGTCTCCTGCAGACAGATTATGTCCACGTGTCTGGAGTGGAATTGCCGGAACGCCATGTTGCGCTTGTTAGGAGAGTTGAACCCCTTTACATTAAGGGTTAAGCATTGCAAGACCGACATGTGTGGTTACTGAAGGAGTATCTTAGTTTATTAGGCCGTTGGGGAAGGACTAAAGGAGCGCTCAAGGAACAGGGAGAAGAGGGAAAGAATAGGCAGAAAAAGAAAGAGTTTTTAGAATGAGGGTGCATCATTAAGTACTGCAAGTTCTGACCAGGGAGAGGCGGCCCTCCACTCAAGATGAAGCGGAGCATGTCCCTGGGCAGAAAAACCATCCTCGCGTCCAGGCCAAAATGTCTGGATGAGTGAAGAAAAAATTGGGGGGAGGCACAGGAGGTCTACCTCCCGCATCGCAGGGGAACCCGCGATAGGTTATATAAGTGCAATAACTGGAAAAAAATTATAACGGTCACAATCACATTGTCGGTACAATAGCTCTAGCCTTTGAGCTACAGAACGAAATGAGAGAACTATCAACAACAGATTCACAGTTCTAATTCTTAATAACTGTCTCCTAACTATCACACAGTAATGATTAGTTTTGCATACAGGTAAACCTTGTAGACTGGTCATAATCACTTGGTATCAAAGGCTTTAAAGGCATTAACGGTTATTATACATGTATCTGAGGGATGAGGTCGGGTGACCATTATAGTCTCTACATCGTATAAAATCAACAGAAAATAAACAATTATGTGTGATCCCACACATATTAGGAATGGGCAATTTCTATGGACCCATAGTTACCCTCAGCCGACCGAGTCCGAGTGTCTTGTGACTGATCTAGTTGTTGGACGGGGTGGTGACGACCTCCCAGAGGATCTCTTTTGGGAGAAGGACGACTTTTTCATCTGTGGGATTCGATCCAAAGTGGAGGGTGCAGAACGATGACCTGGTGAATCAGTGTTAAGGTGCAGTTCCTCAAGTATGGCCTCGAGCTCCGACAGTGAAGAAGCTTGATGTTGTCTGCCTTGGTAGGAGAACAACAGCTTAAAAGGGAATCCCCATCTGTACAGGATCTTGTGTTGTTGAAGGGTGCGTAGCGCCGGTTTCATTTCCCTCCGTTTCGCTATGGTGGATGGGGCAAGATCCGCAAAGATTTGATATTCATGCCCTTGGAACACGAGGGGTTGTTTGGCGCGGGCTTCCTGAAGTATGGTTTCCTTGGAGCGAAAATATAGGAATTTCGCGATGATGTCACGTGGCGGCCCCTCTGGTTTGTGGTGTGTGAGGGCTATATGGATCCTTTGAAACTCTAATCTTTCATGTGGTATGGACGGAGCCAATTCTTGGAGCAGTGCCGTGGTGAATGCAGGGAGATCTAGTATGGATTCTGGTATCCCCCTTATCCTGATGTTGGAGCGGCGTGACCTATTCTCTAGATCTTCCATCTTGGATAGGAGAATGGCATTGTCTTCCCTCATAGCATCCAGCTCCCTGTCATGGGTCTCTAGAGTTACCACTGTGACGTCCATTCTGGATTCCAGGTCTGCGGTTCTGTGGCCCAGATCACGGATTTCTTTAGTTAGCTTGTCAGTGATCTGCTTGGACGTTTGCTGCAGAGCTTTCTGAAGCATTCTGTCAATCCTTTTTAACAGGTCTTTCTGCGATGTGTCAGCCCTAGTGGGGGAGGGAGAGCTGGCCCTGCTGTCTGTGCCATCTCTGTTAGAGCAAGAGGGGGAGGCTTGCTGTGGCTGCCGGGCTTGTGTAGGCTGCGGCGCCATCTTGGCTGGGGTGCGGGTCTGCCTCTCACCTGCTAATCTCCCTCTTGGCTTGGATTTCGGGCCCGCGGAGGACATGGCTGTGTCACCCGTTCCTTCCCCCGTCTGATGCTGCAGTTATTGCCACGATGTGGCCGGGGTGAGCGGCGCGGGTTCCCCCCGTTATGTCGGAGGGACATGGAGCTTCTCTAAAACATGTCCGCTCCGGATCACCGCACGCATGCGCCCCCCCTGGTGACACATTTTAACGGACAGTGATCACAAAATACTTGGAGAGAAACATATTCGCTTTATGACTCAAAAACACTTTGCATTTATGAGAACATTTCTGGTAATATCAGAATTATTATTTTTTTCTGCAACAAAGATCCATCATGCCCTGGACTTACCAAATCTGGAAATATAGTACTTCTTTATTTGGGCAGCACACCTTGCATGCTACTATTTTGGCAGCCCACAGCAAACCAACTTTATACAAACTTTTCACCCCTCCCTACTACTGAAATAAAAATTCTAGACTGGGCATGTGTTATTTATGGGTTTGTTTATTTGCTCCCTTTGTTTTAAAAACACTCAGAAATTACAAAGTGCTTTACAGAATATGCAGAAATGTCAACACCATTGTCTGCTGCAAAGGAGCTTACAATCTAACACCCTTTGGGGTGTATTCACTAAGCTGCCGTAGGCAGCCGAGTGAAAGACCGACCTGAAGTGAAGTGAGCCGAGCGCTTTCGGCTATTCACTTCAGGATGTTATGTCTGATTTCAGCCGTACATCGCGTGGCTTCACGTGGCTTCTAAGTGCAGGAGGAGTTCGACTCAGCCGATCCAACATCTGGATCGGCTAAGCCAAACCTCTGGCAGGCTACTGGCTGCTGTTCTATTCTTATAGATGCCGAACAGCAGTGAGTGAATAGCCGAATGCCGCTGAGCAGAAAAATAGTTTAAAAAGTTTTAAAAACATAGAAAATGATTATGTGGCGCTAGCAATGACAGCTAGCTCCGCCCAATAGTTTTCTATTGGCCGGCGGTTCTGCTGCCGTCAAAAAAAAAAAAAAAAACTCTCCCGGGCGCTCTGGAAGTCTCCCGCTCCCGGCCGCCCAGGAGAGAAATACTGATTTTTCTTCTTTTTTCTTTAATCTGACACGGAGCCATAAGATCACGGCTGGCTCCACCCAGCTGTCAGAAGCAGGCTGTCGGCTGGCCAATGGCCGGCCACTCGGCAAGTTTCGGCTTTCAGCGTGGCTCAGCCGAGCTGAGGCATATGCCTTCGGCTCGACTGAGCCGCTCTGCTAAGTTCGGGAGCTATACGGGCTATTGTGAATAGCCCATACAGCAGCCCTTCGGTTCTACTGAACCAAAGGGGTCCTGGGGCCGAAGCTAGCCGAAGGATTGGCCGAAGCTACGGCTAGATCCTTCGGCTGCTTCGTGAATAGACCCCTTAGTGTTGCATGTCTAGTTTGGAAAGAGGTGAGTTAACATGCCAGGGCAATTTTTGAGCTGTTGGAGGAAGTGGGAACTGAAACAGCACTGGAACATGAAGAAAACCCACAAAGGGGTGACAATGTGCTAGGGAAAAATAATTTCAAGGACCCAGGGCTCAAAAAATGTGTCAACGCTTTGTCTAAGAAAATGATTAAAATTTTCTAAAACAAAAGGACAAAATCAGTAAAAAAAACATTATTATTTGAAAGAAAACTGTGATATGGGACTACATTAAATGGTAGCAAGCAGAGGTGAGTATGTAGTACACACTGCAAGGTACTGTAAACCAGGTGAAAAATGCTTCTTGAGGATTTGCAATATTTCCTGCATGTATATTTGTCTGTGCAAGCACTCAGGAGTCTCATCTTCTTTTCCAGAGCCGTACAGCCCTGCTGTCTGGGTCATGATGTTTGTCATGTGTCTTACCGTGGTTGCTGTGACTGTTTTCATCTTTGAATATTTGAGCCCTGTTGGATATAACCGAAGCCTCTCCACAGGCAAGCGTGAGTACTTGATCCATGCTATACTACTTCCCTCTTTAACACCTAAATTGTTTCCTTTACTACTGTTTACCTGCTTGTAAAGAAAATCTTTGGTTTAAAACACAGAGCTAGAGATATAAAAATGTCTGAGAATAGAGATAATAGTGGACAGAAGCAGGGTCTTAAATGTTCCAGCTAGAATTATCCACAATTTTTTTTTTTAGAATAAAATCTACATTTTATTCCTTTTAAAACAAATTGTATAACAATCTAAAAAAACACATGTTGATATCTATTGGCATGCCCAGCCTTCTACTCATGCTAATTGGTTAATATATTACTGCCACTAATATACAGAAAATGTCACCTTAGATTGTAAGCTCCTTGTGTGCAGGGACTGATGTGAATGTGCACTGTGTAAAGCGCTGCATAAAAAATTGTCGGTGCTATATAAATACCAATAATAGATAATAATAATATAAAGCCACATGAGACCCTCCTAAAATATATGCAACACTTAGGGGGTAATTCACAAAGCTGCCGAAGGCAGCAGAGTGAACAACCGGCCCGAAGGGCAGTGAGCCGAACGCTGGTCGGCTATTCACTTCAGGCTTGTACAGCTGATTTCACCTATACAACGGCTAAAATAAGCCATACACCAGCTTGCTTCGGCTGGCTTTGGTTCAGCCAAACATACTCAGCGTGTTCGGCTGACCAGAAGTGCAGAAGGAGTTCGACTCAACCGATCCAACATCAGGTCCCAGCCAATGAACATAAACTGGGCGGAGCTGGCTATGATGTCAAGGGCGGCTCCGCCAAGATGTCAGCTGGCCGAAGGATCAGCCATAGCTCAAGCTATGGCTGATCCTAGCTTTGTGAATAACCCTCTGAGTAATTAATGTACATATATTGCCTATCAAGTACAGTAAAAGCTGATGAACCCACATTGCAAAATATATATACTGTATATAGCAGACATAGACATTCACAATGTAACTAATTATAAGGCTTGACAAATAATCCATTGTAAACATATATGCTGTTGGATAAACAGTGGCCAACCACAGTCATCCAAAAGTGGGCAGTTATACAAAAATATATTTAGTTGGTAACAAACACACAGTAGGTATAGATATAATTGGTTCCATCTTACCGCCGACAGCTCTGAAGTGATTTATCGTGTAGATGTAAATATAGTACCAAACAGTGCACTCCTGTGAAGCCAAGATGTTGAAATGGTAATAATAAGCAAGCTCAAGTATGCCAAACTGAAGAGTTGTTGCATGCAGAAGTAATGCAGGTAGACAAACTCCCATAGGATCAGAGTGTTCAGATAGTAGCAAACTGTAGCATGTAGCTCTAGAAAATTGACACATGTAAATATAGTTTGTGAATCAGGCAAACCAACATCTGTAGAAAAAATGCATTGTTAAGGTAGCAAGTAAACTGTAGCATATAGCCAAGCAAGAACAAGTAATAGCAACACAGATGAATAGAATATCCTTAGACTTCCAGTTTAATACAAAGCTCTGTATGTATAGCTGAATATGTTCAAAGGAACAGCAATGATAGACCACATGCAAAGGGACAGCAACACAAAAAATGTAATGTAATCAGGATGACAATTGCAGGTATATGGCCATATAAATACTAGCTAGTTATCCCAAGAGTTGGCAGCAAAACAGACAAGACACAACATTATGCAGATCCAAAGCAACATAAAAATTGAAAACGGAACAATCTGTCAATAATTGCAGTGCAGATGGTCTTATGTCCATGGTGTTAAAAGCAGCCATGCCCAGCAGAAACAGCACACCCCTAACATGTTTTGCCACTACAGCATCATCAGAGGGCTTGCGCTGAGACATAGACACGATTGGTTAAAATATGGTTTATTTTGTGTTTCATCTGAGCAGGAAACGTGACACTGGAAATGGAACGCAAGCTGCAAATTCCACATACGGGGCTGCCCATCTGCCCATGGTGGAGTACAAAAGGGAGAATCGTATTTACAGACATAACATCCAACATTGCCATAATTCAAATAAGCAAACAATGTGTTAGACAAGTCTATATCGAATAATCATATTGAACATATAATACTTGTATCCAAGAAGCCATACAGTATATCAAAATGTATTATGTAAATCATGTAGAAAAAGTATATTGCTAAATTATTAAACCTAAAAATAAAAAAAATCTTTCAATAAAAAGTGATAATTTTTTACATATCTCCAGCTCACGCTGGAGATCCAGTACGCTGCTTAAAAAAACAAGAAAAAAGTATGGCATCATTAAGGCCAAGATACTTTGCAATAGCCAATAGCAAACTAGCTATTGCACCCGCCCACTGCTGCAGCAGAGGGGGCCTGAAGTTCTCTATCAGGTCCTCTTCTAGTGATTGACAGCAGCAGAGGGCGGGTGCAATAGCCAGCTTGCTATTGGATATTGCAAATTAAAATAGCCAAAAGTAATCTAGCTATGCATTCCTATGCTGATTTTTTTTCTTTTTTTTTTTTATTCTGACAGCAGCAGCTGTCAGAATACTAAAAAAAAACCTTGCAGATAGCAAAGAAGCTATTGCTTCCTCTGCTATCTGCCATCATTTCAGGGGGGTGCTCTCTCCCCCCTGCATTACAATGAGAGCTTAGCAGAGCTGGAGGTGATATGAAAGCCAACTCTGCTGAGCTCTCATGGTACTGACAGTTCAGCGTCCCTGGATACTTTGTAACCAGGGGCGCTGATCTGTCAGTACCATGAGAACTCAGCAGAGTCGGCTTTTATATCACCTACAGCTCTGCTAATCGTTTTCTATTTTTTTTTCTACTTTTTTTAACTGTTTTTCTATTCTGCTCGGGACCACAGAGGTACCGAGCAGAATAGCTGAGCCGAATGCCGATATGAGAAGAGGCCGAACAGCAGCGAGTAGCCTGCCAGAGGTTCGGACCAGCTGATCCAGATGTTAGATCGGCTCAGGCGAACTCCTTCTGCTCTTCGGGTCGGCCGAACATGCTGTGCATGTTCGGCCGACCCGAAGCCAGCCGCAGCAAGCCGATGTACGGCTGAGTTCAGTCGGTGTACGGCTGAACTCAGCCGTACATGCCTGAAGGGAATAGCCGAACAGTGTTCGGCTCACTTCACTTCGGGTTGGTTATTCACATGGCTGCCCTCGGCAGCTTTGTGAATAACCCCTAAATTTTCTCCCCTGGGGTTGCTATATACTCTGTCAAAGGCAGTGAAACTGAAGGCGGGAATTTTGGTATGTTTAAAAAGAACATGCCTTGCAATGCAAGAGTGTAAATTACCCCATGTTTTTATGTCTTTCCTATTTAAAAACCATCACATTCACAACTGTACATGTATTTAACCCCAGTGGTTTCACAATTGCCAAAATGAGAGACATAATAAACCTTTTCATTAGGACGTGTCACTGGCTATTCATAAACTACAAACCTGCAAGCCGCACATAGCCGTTATAGTGAAACCTACCTGGCCTTATCTAGCATGATTGTTTATTTTTTATGTCACAATGGCTATATACTAAGTTATCACCCAAAGACAAAGCCCATCTGTAAATGATTTGTGGTATACATTTTGATATCTGTACATCTGTCTCGAGCCAATGCCAATGTTTCATGAGAATCTTTTTAGCAGAGGCATGATGTCAAATACATTGTATTGTCTATATGGAATATTTTTGATCAATTTAGGATGCCCTCTTTTTAGCATGTAAAATGGCATTTCTCACTGTAGGTTTGCGGAATAGAGTGGTGTTTACAGACCTGTTTAATTCTTTTCAGATGACTATATCCAAAAAGGAAATCGAAACCTCATGATAGGATACTGTAAATTTTAAATTAATATAAGATTATTCTTACTGAACCAACAAATCATCTAGTGAGCCTGTGCAAAATGGGGGATGTTGTTAATGTACCTGTGCCACAAGACTATATGACATTGAGAGATCCTCTCGAGAACAAAGGTTTGGTTCCTACCAGCCCAGGCACAGGCTGGCACCAAATGACGTAGTAGAAATAGAACCCCGTAGAGGACCACATGGTGGTATTTGATATCAATTCTCAGCTACAAGATTGGATATAGTGACCATTCCTGTGCCCATTGGAGCATTGTTAGTGGAATCTACAGTACTGGTATCCAGTATAGATTTGTAAATGGAATGCTGTGTTTGTGATGTTTTCATTAAATAGATTGATTATCAAAAAAGTTCAACATTAAAAGGTATAGATAGAATGTGCTTCATACAGTAAATTAATGAAACTCTCCCAGTAAATGAATGCAATCTAATTCCAGTTTTGCCTTTTTCTTCTCAACCAATCTTTATTGAATGATCACAAGCAAAAGATGAGATCAGTATTCGAAAAGCACAATCCCCTTAATATAGAAATCCCATTAGCGGAGCAATCCAGTGAGCAAGTAATTCAATAGTGTACAAGATAACAAAACATATTTTATTACATCAAACAGTATAAAGATAAATCACCTCATACATGCCATTTCAAATTTGTTAAAACAGAAACACAGCCTCCCTAAGATGGCCCAAATAACAGGACAAGGCAGTCGGGGTAAATGTAACAGCAGGATGATAGGCAGTCAGTGATGTGAGCAAATGCACTGTATAGCAACAGTGGATACAATTGTATCGATATGTAGCAAAGTTGCTCACTTATTCGTCTGTGGCCACAGAGAGAGAGAAAATCCATCCGTGATTCCGTAATGGATGTCAGGATAGTATCCCAGTCGAAGTTGTTAATGTAGTAAATTGTGATCCTGGTAGTTGTTTGTTGTAATTTTGAAGGATTACACGGCTTCAGTAGAACCGAAGGGGTGCTGTACGGGCTATTTACAATAGTCCCGTACAGCTCCCGATCATGGCCGAGCGGCTCAGCCGAGCCGAATGTATATGCACCGGCTCGGCTGAGCTGTGCTGAAATCACCTCATACATGCCATTTAAAATTTGTTAAAACAGAAACACAGCCTCCCTAAGATGGCCCAAATAACA